CCCGGCCCAAACACACACACACATATAGATATGTATCACAAAGAGGAATATATGTCAGGAGACGCAGTCCATCTGAAAATGCAAGGAATCAAGAAGTACAACAGGACAAAGGGCAGAACAAAGATTCCATTTTAATAAGAATGAATATTGTAGTTTGGATGCCCAAGCTGATACTTGCATGTTCACTTTACTATAAGCAGCTGGAGTGAGGGAGCTTTTCCTTACCCATCATATGGATTTCTCCTATGTGTCAAAGAATCAACCCTTGGCCTAAATAGCTAAAATTTGGTCAACATATAAATCCTTTATAAGCTTTCTTGGTCTATGGTTTTCTAAAGGTTTTCTCGCTTCGCATATACAATTTCCCAGCCCGGTACACTAAGCTCCCGCTATGCGCAGGGCCGAACCACAAGGGTCTACTGTACGCACCCTTACCTGCATTTCTGCAAGAGTATGTTTCCACGGCTTGAACCCAAGACCTCCTGGTCACATGGTAGCAACTTTACCAGTTACGCCAAGGCTCCCCCTTCCCCCATACACAATTTCCCCAAAATCAAGATATTCTGCTTTACAAATTTTATAGTACAAAATCTCCGATCCTCTTTTTAGGATTAGGACTTTATTGATTATTGCTGGAGTTGATGCCTAAACAAGGAGTGTTGGCAGTGTAGATAGTTATATGCCTTGCAAGATCTAGAAGCATGTATCCCTTGGTAAGGTCTTAGAAGGGTGAAGCAATTCATTACACTGCTGCTAATAAAATCTCATCCCTAACCCGTGGCTTTATCTTTTATCATGAATTCTAGTCAGATCATGATAAAGATAACTATATCATGATTCTTTTCTGATCAGAGATAGCCAGAAGGTGAGGAAGCTAATATACACCTGAGAATGTTGTTTTCCCCAGAAGAGTTTAATAGCACAATTGTTAAAGATATGTCCAAATAAACTTAGCTTCTAATTTCGGATAAGCAAGCAACCTAGCTCTAAGATACACCATCGCTATTCATGTGTGTGGAAAAGTAATGACGTAAAAATGTAATCACTTACTCGGTGAAGCCTTCATACACGGTTCCAAATGACCCACTCCCAAGAAAATCTCCCTTTTGCCAAGATTTTATACTTGGAGAACCATTTGGAGAAACAGAATATACAGGCTTCAAAATCAATGTATAGGATTCATCACTCTGTGACTTGGAGCTTATCTTTGAGACACCGCTAGTGGATTCACCACTAGGTGATTTGGAGCTTCTCTTCGATATCAGGCTGTAGGAATCATCACTCTGTGACTTGGAGCTTATCTTTGAGACACCGCTAGTGGATTCACCACTAGGTGATTTGGAGCTTCTCTTCGATATCAGGCTGTAGGAATCATCACTCTGTGACTTGGAGCTTATCTTTGAGACACCGCTAGTGGATTCACCACTAGGTGATTTGGAGCTTGTCTTCGATATCAGGCTGTAGGAATCATCACTCTGTGATTTAGAGCTTAAATCTGGAACATCCTCAGCAGCATCTCTTACACCTTGCTCATAAGACTCTGAGCTTATCTGTGATACTTGTGAAGCACTTCTTACAAAATCCTCATTACGCTCTTCATTCTTAGCAATAATGTCTCCTACTTGCTCGTTTCCAAGTATGTCATCGGAAGTGCTCTCAACACGTGACGGTGAAACCATATCTTCATCGTCTGCAGGACCAAAACTTCTGATAAAATCCCAAGCAGATGTGAAATCGTCCACGGGCGATGCTGGAGGAGCCAGCCTTGGTGGCCTAGAACCCCTAATTCCACATTTCACATCCGTAGGCAAATTATCATCCTCCGGCTCACTAATCCTAACCTTAATCCCATTTTCAGGTGAAGAATTTAAACCGTGATTCAATTCTCCGCCAACAGTAACCCTAACACCATTTCTAACACTATCAGAAACCTCATCCAAGCTCTCAAGCTCGTTCTCAGAGCTGAAACGGTCCGAGTGAGAGCACGGTTTGGTTTCTTCCTCCGATTCACTAGACGAAACCTCAATCACATTTTCCGGCGAATAGTTTAACCGACGATTCGATTCATTTGAAGTCTCGAACTTATAATCAGAGTCACGGCGGGAATCAGCAAATCGAGAGCTGCGCAAACGGTCAGAACGGGAGCAAGGTTTCCGAGCTTCCCAAGCAGCTACAGGAATCGCAAAGTCTTCAGGACCTGAAAGCCCTAAAGAGCGGCAAATAACGTCGAATTCACCACCAACACCGTCTATTCTGAAGCTTGTACAGTCGGTCAAAGGATAAAGGTCAAGCGATCGAGTCCGATGAGTAGGCTGATCTTCGAACGAAGACGGAGATGACGGCGTCGACTGTGAAGCGTCGTAATCGACGTTCCTTAGGGCGTTTCGCCTGTCAAGTCGAGGCCTTAGCTTCTTCCGCTTCGCATACATCCCTCAATTTTCACACACAGAGAGACTTCACCTTTGGTCATACGTACATGTACGTATACGTAAGTTTGAGAAAGAAACTTCGAGAAGAAGATGGTAGTATAATATTGAAAAATGATGAAAGAAACGAGGTATTCAGAAGAGACGGCGGTGACTGCATTTGTCAAAACACACTGGAGCTGATTGCTACTTTGGATCTTTCGCTGTTTTTTCACCTTTTTTAAGTAACAAGTAAAGGCGCGGAGGGAAGGGTAAAAACGTGACGCGGTGCCACGTGACAGCGTGTTAACTGACAAATATATGGATAAAAGTCATTAAGGTAATGATTAAAATATACAATTAACTGACTAATAGTTTAATCTTGATTAATATTGATGCAAGAAAATTATTTTTTTGGATAGACATTCTTCTAAACTAGTCTGCTTGGCCAAACTCCAAAAATCATCTTAATTTGTGAAGTATTTTTTCTCAAAAGTATTTTTTTCAAAAATATTTTTGGTGAGAAGCAGTTTGTGTTTGGCAAACTTATTTAAAAATCACTTATGAGCAGCAATTAGTATTTGGCCAAGTTTTTAAAAATTGCTTTTAAGTATATTTTTCTCAAAAGTAATTTTCAAATAAATACTTATGGGGAGAAACTTTTTTTTTCTGTTTCTCTAAAACTGATTTTGCTTCTACTCAAAATTATTTTTTTTCTCTAAAAGCTTGGCCAAACACTTTAACTTTGGGAAAAAAATAAAAAAAGTGATTTTGGCTGGGAGAACCTTGGCCAAACAGGCTAATATATTTACTAAAAACTTTTATTTCCTTTCTCTGGCTATCTTCGACGGGGTTTAGATATTTACTTACCATACTAAGAGCTCGTTTGGCCAAGCTGCTAAAAACTTTTTGCTTATTTCAAACATTACTTTTTTTCAGAAGTGCTTTTTTCAAAAGTACTTTTGAAAAAAAAATATTTGTGTTTGACCAATTCATTTAAGAAATACTTTTTGTAATATTTTGTAAACAAATTGTGTTTAGCCAATCTTTCAAATAAGTACTTTTGAGTGTCAAATTACCAAAAGGACGGTACCAAGGTCTTATTATTATTTTAAAGAAAAAAATAAACTTGTCAATTCTTTAGTAGAAATTTCACGGGCCATTGTTTAACTTAATACTTTTTGGGATTCTTACATAAATGTCTCAAATAAGTTCCAACTTACCAACCTCTAGTCATTAATCATAGACTTATCAAGACTAGCCAAGCACATATAAAAATTAAAAACTAAATAAATAAGGTTCGTTCAATGGATATGGTTGAGATTCATTGAAAACATATGAGTCAATATACAAAATTTGAGGAAGATTGGAGGTGATTTGGACTGATTTGGTATCAAAATTCGTAGTTAAAATCGAGTTCAAAATATTCTTCTACTACACATGTATCAAACATTTATCTCACACACGGGTATATATGGATATACATGTGATACACATTTGATACAAATATGATACATATGTGATATACAGCGTGATACACATATCATTTTTTTCATGTTCATCTTCTACTTTGAATTTTCAATTTAAACTACCTCAAACTCCACCAAATCATCCCAAAACTGAGATTCAAGCTCATTAAGATGTATCCAAAATATTCTAATAATACCCACTCAAAAGAAAGCAATTTTTTTTTTGGCTATAAATATCTAATTGGCTAATATTAGTTATATTTTATGAATTAGCCAATTTTTATAATAAGATGCTTATAAATGGGCATGAGTGGTATTTTTCCTACTTTTTTTTTTAGTTTAACTGATACCTGATTTTTGGATGACTTCATATAAGTTTTTCTCTTCTACTTCGCTGATGTTTTCTTCTTCTCTATATTTATGGCCCATGTATCCGGGAACTTCGTTGTTGCTTTCTTCTTCTCTATATCCACACCCCATATATCCATGAGCCATTTGGTTTCTTTTTCTTCTTCTTCTTAGTTGTAAAATACCATTGTAGGTTATGCTTAGGGCTTCTTCTTGAAATGGAATTTGTTACATTTGTTGTTTTGGTAATTTGATGATTCAGGATTATTTTTTTATAATATTTGAAAGTTATGTTTCAATTTTGAATTCATTCGGAGTAGATTTAGGCATTGAATATTTCAAAACTTAATACCTTGTTTCTCAAGTTGCAGTGAAGAGATATAGTAACTACTTAAGACTTGTATTTTTCTGAAATTGCATTCGAAAGATATAATAATTTAAGATCTGATTTCTAAAGTTATATTAAAAAGATAGAACTACTTAAGATATGATTTTTCTGAAGTTATATTGGAAAGATAGAATAACTTCATATCTGATTCTAAAGTTACATTGAAGAGGCAAAACTACTTAAGATCTGATTTTCTGAAGGAAATTTGACGTATCATCGCAGATATAGAAGAGCTTCAGATCCCTTTGGGTACATTTTGTAATTTTTTGTGCAATACAGATATAACTTCAATGGCAGATAAAAAATGAATATATGTGCAAATGGCCCAATATTTCCTCTAGAGGTTACCCATTTCACTGATTACATAATAAAATTTACTTATTTAAAAAGTGCATAATACATCTGAAATTAAAATTGTTTTCCGATCTGAAATGTCACTCAGTTTCTTAACTATATTAGTAAAACTTCTAGCAATTTTTTTCACACCACGCAGGTTAACTTTAAAAAGTAAAATAGTTATTTAATTATCATTGTTGAATCTATAAAAAGTTATCTATTAGAATCTCAAGTCTCAAGAAGGGAACATGCCAATTTTTAGAACCTTTAAATTAAATTTCAGAAACAAAATTGTGACATAAAATATCATTGGTTGTCAAATAAACAATAGAAAAAGGAAGGAAAAAAAAAGATAATTGACAATTTTATTGCACCAAAAATTCAAAGAGAGTGTTCCATTTTTATTTCTTGGCACCCAGGACAAAAACAAAATAGAAGTCAATTAAACCCCATGTTTAACTCCGATATGTGTATATAAAAGGAATATAAATCATTCCTCGTTGGGTGTACAAAGAAAATCGATAAACCGAATCAAACCGATAATTCGAGTTAAATCTTCAAGACCCAAAATCCAACTAGTCGTGATGGCACCTAACCCAACTCGTTAGGTAAGCCAATTACCAACTATCTAATTCCAATAATAATTATCAAAGGAATTTAAGTAAATAAAGTTCTTAATCTTATACAATCTCCAAGAACTGGTAGTACAAATCATAAGCTTCTAAGAATAGAGTTTACAACGCGGAAATGAAATAGATACATAGTCTGTTTGAATAGTACATAAACAGGGATTTTATAAATCCAAGGCTACCACGAACAAGAGGCAGCTACAACAGGAATGCATGTACATCTTCAAATCCCGCAACCATCGAGCACAGCAACAACAATAGCCAACATCTGCACGCAATGTGCAGAAGTGTAGTATTAGTACAACCGACCACATGTACTGAGTAAGTAACAAACCTAGCCTTAGGTTGAAAGTAGTGACGAGCTTTCACGGTCGGGTCCCAAACCAATAGTCCACAACAGTCCATAACAACATAAAGCAAATAACACCAGAAGTAACTCACAAATATAATGCTCAGCAAAATCATGATTTCAAAAATAATAGTTCTTCCTTTCAAGTACATCAGTGAAGTACATCAGTGAAAACCCAAATCGTTTACCGAAGTTGCCGAAAATATGAATAAGTTTGAAAACAATAATTTTTCCCAAAAATCCTTTTAATAATAAATGATATGTTTCATTTTCCTTCTAGATAACCCGTGTAAAAATAAATGCATCACTATGCTCATCTGTTAAAAATGTGTGAAAATCATGAATGATGTGATGCAGTACACCATGAGGAAAATACATCTCTATGCATGTATGTTAATTATGCATGCCAATGCAATGCAACTCAATGATAAAATCATAAACAGCCTCTCGGGCAGACCTCACAATCACTCGTATACAGGCCATCGGGCTTACCTCACAATCACTTGTAAATAGACCATCGGGCATACCTCACAATCACTCGTAAACAACCCCTTGGGCATACCTCTCAATCACTCATGCCTCCCAGTCACTCAGCACTCGGCACTCAGCACTCGCACTCAGTAGGTACATGCGCTCACTAAGGGTGTGTACAGACTCCGGAGAGGATCATTCAACCCAAGCGCTATAATCTACACGGACAACTCACGTGCTATAATATCATATCAGAATCCGCACGGACAACTCATGTGCCATAATAAGCCAATAAAGCCTGTTACACGCGGACAGCCCGATCCATATAATAGTAAAAATATATATAAAGCCAACATGGCCTGCTGCGTCATACATCCCGATCCCAAAAATATCCTCACAATCAGGCCCTCTGCCTCCCTCAGTCATCAATCTCTCCAGCCTCTCTCTCATGGGCTCACAATGTCATGGGAATATCCTAAAAATGATGATATGATGTATCAATAAATAATAATAGAGACTGAGATATTATATGTAATGAAATAAATATGAGTGAGTATGAATTTTCAATTTAAACAAATAATTCACAGCAATATGACCTATGTAAGTCCCAATAATACTAGCACATAGCCTCAACATAATTTTTAATATGCTTTTCAACTCAATTTCTTTAACACATAAAATTGCATGGAAAATGCTAAGATTATTTAACTACAAAATTTTATAGAAATAATTATGTCACAATTTCTATAGTGCACGCCCATACGTCCGTCACCTAGCATGTGCGTCACCTCCCAACAATTTACATAATACATATATTCAGGGTTCATACCCTCAGTTCCAAGATTAGAAGAGTTACTTACCTCGAACAAGCCGAATTCAATGTCGAGCAAGCTAAACAATGCTCCAGAATTTCCATTCTGCACGTATCAACTCCTGAACGGCTCGAATCTTGACACAATAAATTTGATTTAGCCCACAAAAATTATAGAAATTAATTTCATATCAAAATACTAATATTTTCCAAAAATCCAAAA